ACAAATGTGTCTTGAAGTCATTCACTTGAGTCGCATTATGGCAATGTGGTATCTTGAGAAGAAAAGATCAGTGTGTTAGTGAATATGACCACATATGCTGCCTTCGTATCGCTGTTGCCGTTGTTATTTATATATTTGTTTATTTGTTTATTAGACATTTGTGTTATTTGTTTGTTATTCATATATTTATTGGTATATTTATTTATTCATTCATTCATTTAATTAGAAGTGTAGGGCATTTTTAGAAGTGTGGAAGTGCCTGTTGTTTGCAATGGCGTTTCGACCCTTGGCTGTTTGCTTATGGGTAGCGCGGTTCTACTCGTTCTTCAAGGAGAGGAAATGGAAGTTTTTGCTGGCGCGTTTACCTTTGAACCTGCGAGGGAAGGTCGCCGCCAGGAAATGCTCTCGGGGCAGCGTCGCGTAAAGCGTACTATTCGCTTTCTCTTTTGTTCCGAGAGAGCGCGCACGACGGCTGTAATCTGGGAAAGGGGATTGGGCTTCATGCGCTGTGGCTGAAATAGGTTGGAATGAGGGAAAGGGCGTGCGGCGAGGCCCGAACAGGCCCCGCGCGACCCGCAGTGCCGCCTGCGGCCGGCAGTCCGCGACCACCTCGGTGTTTTGAGAAGGCGAAAGTCACTTCTGCAAAATGCCCGTTTATGGGAAGTGCTAATTTTTTTCTCCCGACAACTTGCTTCCAGAGAACAGTTTAGAGACCGTAAGCCAATGTTGGTCAAGTGAGAGTGTTCGTGTGAAGTGTGTGGGTAGGATGATGCCCACGGCAGAGCGGGTGGGGGGGCCGCCCACCAGGCCGGCTCGGGGAGTGCGGCCCGCCCGCCCCCCGCCCCCAGCCGCTCACCTGTACCGTCCGCCGCCCGTCGACCACCCTCGCCAGCATCAGCGCCCGCCGCCGCCGCCCCGCGCCTCGTGCCCCCCGCGGCCCCTCCACGTGGGCGCCAGCAACGGCCGCCACGCCCCCCGCCCGTGCGGCCACGTGGGCGGCCTCGGCGGCGGGCGCAGGGCCAAATGGTGCGGCAAGGCGGCCTCGTGGGCGTGGCTGCCGCTCAACGCCGCCGCACGCGTCGAGTCGGCGCTCAACACCTGCTGGCCCGCGCCGTCGCTGCACGTGCTGCTGGCCTGTCTGCCCTGCCTTGCCCCTTCCGCCGCGCGGTGAGTGACGACGCCCCGGCGCCCGCGGGTCCTCCGGCGCCAGGTCGCCTTCGGACTCCTCCAGCTTACGCTTGCTCTCATTCGCTCTCTTCCTCTCTCTCAATCCTCATCTCTTTAACGCACCCCTGCCCATCTCCTTCCCCTATCTCCATTCCTCCTCCCTCTTCCTCTCCCTCCTCTCCCCACCCTTCTGTACCTGCGTGCCCTCCTTTGTGTGGACATATGTAGCGCCTTCTGCACCTTGGCGGGTCGTTGAGGTGCTGGCGTCGTTCAGGGCAAGCGGAGGCGACGGCGATTGGTGTGTCGCTTCGCCCGCTCTCCGGTTCGGTTGATCTGAATCTTTGGATTTTACAGTTGGTGGTGCAAAAACATTTTTTTAATATTTTATTTTCAGATGTTAATTTTTTTTTGTGGATATCTAATTGCCTTGAAATTATGGTTTTTGTGACTATTGTTGTTGTTATTGTTATCAACATTTTCAACGTCAACACCAACATCAACATCTGCATCATCTACATTTACATCTACATCTACTTCTACATCAAACTTCTACCTCAACCTCATCATCTTCATCTTCATCTTCAATCACCATCATCATCTTCATCATCAATCAACATCATCATCTTCATGATCATTATCTTCATGATCATCATCATCATCATCATCATCATCATCATCATCATCATCATCATCATCATCATCATCATCATCATCATCATCATCATCATCATCATCATTACCGTCACCATCCTTTATTTTTGTGAGATACAAAGACTTTTTTATAGGGTAATTATGATAATGAGTACGGCCATGCACTCACGCCTGACTCGGCTAAGATGCTTATTAAAAACGTGCTTTCGAACGCAGAACGTGTCACGAACATGTGATAGGATGATCAAGCAGGCGCCAGGCAGGATGGGAGGTGGGGGGGAGGGGTGTTGCAGTTGCCTAGGTCAGACATGCAGCTTGTGTGTGTGTGTGTGTGTGTGTGTGTGTGTGTGTGTGTGTGTGTGTGTGTGTGTGTGTGTGTGTGTGTGTGTGTGTGTGTGTGTGTTATGTGTGCGTGTTATGTGTGCGTGTGTGTGTGAGTGTAGGAGTGTGTGTGTGTGTGTGTGTGTGTGTGTGTGTGTGTGTGTGTGTGTGTGTGTGTGTGTTATGGTTTTTATTTTGCGCATGTTAACATTCAAATGAGAGAGAGAGAGAGAGAGAGTGAGTGAAGGAGAAGCAAAAACAAAGGAGAAAGGAGTATCGATAATTATCGATAATGCGCTGGCGTTGGCGTTGCCCTACTCTCGTCAGTATTTTCCGGGCGATCGGCAAGGCGACGGAGGGCCAGGCGAAGGGCGCGCGTCGAAACAGAAGGGCTTCCGCGCGGCCAGGTGATTTGCATAGGCTGGCATTTTTAGCGCGGTCCTTGGGGGGGAAAAACACGCAGCTACCCTTGTAGTAGGGAGGGGAGGGAGGGGGGAGGGGAGGGGAGGGGAGGGTGAGGGTGAGGGCGGAGGGGAGGGAGGATAAGGGGGGAATAGGGAGGGATAGGAGAAAAGTATGGGGGGTTATAGGGGAGAAATGGAGATAGGAGGAAGGTAAGAGGGGTTAGTGGGGCTATAGGGTAAAGGGGACGAAGAGAGGAGAAAGGGGCGAAAGGGGAGATGGAAGAGTAGGGGAAGGAGAGGATAGGTGTTAGGGGGAAAGGGAGAGGTTGAGGAGTAGGCGAGGTGGGGAAGTCCTTGGCTTGGGAGGTTTGGTAGGGAGATGGAAAATAAGAAATGGAAGAAGACAGAGATAGAAAAGGGGATAGGAAGATGGGAGAGGCAAGGGAGAGGAGAGCTGGGGAATTTGGCGAACACAGACGGAGAGTAGAAGAAAGGTGGACGGGACTTTGGGAGGAGGAGGCGTACCGAATAGCGGAGATGTTGGGGAGGGCGGGAGGGGGACCGTAGAGGGAGGAGAGAGAGAGGGGAAGGGGAGGGGGGGGGAGAGGGGCAAGAGCTTGTACCCCGTCGGTCTGCGGCGGCGACCTTGTCCAAGCGCCCGTAAGGTCCGTCCGAGCTGGTCCACGGAGGGTCCGGCGCTGGGTCTCGCTTGCTCCAGTTCGGCGCGGGCTGTTCCGGGAATCCTGGGTCCTGGAAGCCGCTTCTGTGGTGTGACCTCGATTTAGGGGGGGGGGGAGGGGAAAGGGAAGGGGAAGGAGAAGGAGAAGGGGGAGGGAGGGAGAGGGAAGGAGAAGAGGATGGGAGGGGGAGGGAAAGAGGAACGGAGGGGGAGGGAAGGGGAAGGGAGGGGAAGGAGAAGAGGATGGGAGGGGGAGGAAAAGAGGAACGGAGGGGGAGGGGAGGGGAGGACAAGGGAAGGGGATGGGAAGGAAGATAAAAGGCGCGGGGGGGGGGGGGGAGGTGGGGAGTCAGTTATTAATAGGATTCTCATTATCGTTGGTGTTTCTATTAACACTGTGTTACTAGTTTTGTCATCGTTACTGCAATTTTGTTTTTATCGTCATCACTTACCATCAATAGTGGCATTGCCATGTTCCTATTATTATTATTATAACTCTTGTTGTTATTATTATTATCATCATTATTATTATTATAACTATTGTTGTTATTATTATTATCATCATTATTATTATTATAACTATTGTTGTTATTATTATTATCATCATTATTATTATTATAACTATTGTTGTTATTTTATTATCAGTATTATTATTATTATTATTGTTATTATTATTGTTATTATTATTGTTAATATTATTATTATTATTATTATTATTATTATTATTATTATTGTTATTATTATTGTTATTATTATTATTATCATTATCATCATCGTAATGATAGGTTATCATCACTATCGCTGCTGTCGTCATTGTTAACATTATTTTTATATTCATCACCGTTACTGTTATTAAGAATAATTGATTTATCATCCACCACACGCCTCCGCAACGACGTCAAAAAGGCGCTCATGAAACCCCGTGTTCTGGTCGCAGGTTCCTCTCGCTGGAAGCCGTTGTGGAAGCCGGATTTAAGCCTGGTAGGAAATAGAGTGCGCGGGGAGGTAAGGGGGGGGGGAGGGCGGGGATGGGGGGGGAGTGGGGGGTGATGGGGTCCAAGGTCACAGACCCCTTGTTTTATAGGCGCTCTCGATAAGGTCAGAGTGAATGTTTATGGTTAGTATTTGCCTCCTCTCCCCCCCTCCCCCTCCTCCTTCTCCATACGAGTGTAAATAAAATACGTATTATCTGGGTCATTTTTTTTTCGAGGTAATTTTAGGACCAATAAAAAAATGACGGAACGGTTGGGGATTATGGGATGTTTAAAGGGAGAGTGGGAGGGAGGGGGGGGGTTGAGGGAGAGGGAGATGTAGAGGGAAATGTAGAGGGAAAAACAGAGTTTGAGATGCGATGTAGAAGCGGAGGGAAAGGGAAGGTATGAAGAGGCAGTGGCAGAGGAAGAGAGAAAAGAGGCAGAAGATGGGATGAGTGGGAGTGGGAGAAACAGACTTAGACTTAAAGGTGGTTTGGGTATGGGTCTGTGGGCACGCGAGCCCAGGGCTCTTTACCCGAGTGTCTCACGGTCTCACGCTCGCCCACGGATACAAGCGGCCGTCCTTTATTATTGGGGGGTGGGGTTGGCCTTCGATCACCTATAGTTTTTTTTTTTTTTAAGGAGGTCCTTATTATAATTTAGTTGAATTTTGTTTACATAGGTAAATCTGCGTGCGTGAAGGCCAGCGACGGCACACCAAAGTCGCGCGTGTCGCCGGCGGCGGCGTCTGGCAGAAGTGTTGAAGCCTCCATTGTTTGTATTAGGAGTCACAGGAGGAGGTGAACAGGGGTGAGGGGCAGGGCAGGGCTAGGGCACGGGCAGGGCTAGGGCACGGGTAGGGGCATGGTGTTAGGGAGTAGGCCCTCTGGAGGCAAGACGGGTGTAAGTCACCGTCGCAGCGTATGTTGACGGCCTTCGGTGATGGTCACAGGCTGGCTGGTCGAGTAGCCTACGCCTTGGGTTGGCTGGGCTACAGGGTCGTACGGACTAGTACTTGCACACTGGTCGGAACGCACGCAAGCACGTACGGGATGCACGCACTCGGTCGCACTGTCACTGTGAGGAATTGTTCGAGTACTTAGCGTCGCAGGACGGCCAAGACTTACTGTGTTTGGCTGCTGGGCATGTGCCTAATCTCGGCGATGGGATAAACTTATTGTGGTCATAGACAATGGGAAGAGTGTAGGGTACGCGAGGAAGAGATAGAGTGGGGCGAGAAGAAAGAAAAAGAGAGAGGGAGAGATTTGCTCGCCCTGGGGCACCCCAACACTCTCGCTTTGTCTCACGGGCTCTCGAGATTAGGTCAGGTGCCCCGAGAAGGAGCATCATCTTTCCTGGTGGATTAAGAAGGGCATGCCACCTCCTCCTCTTCTTCTTCGCACCCCCTCTCCTCCCCCTACTATTCCCCCTCCTTTCTTACCCTCCCCCCTCTTTCCAAACCCCAGGGAATGCTCCATTCGAGTGTGGAAGGGGGCGCTGGTGGCGATCGGTGTTTTTTTTTATGATCTGTGATTTGTAACGTTTGTTTTAGGAGATTGGTCGTGGTCTAGAAATGTGTTTGTGTGTTTTTCCGTGTTTCTCTACGGAGATCATCGGTTTTACAAGCCTGATAGGACCAGCTGATACGCCTTGGTAGATCAGCTGGGACGGCGGCGGAGCAGGTGCTTTGTCCTGCCAGATCAGCTGATGCGCCCTTTATGCTCGCCGATGTGTCCTGGGAAATGGTGATTGTTGCCGAATCAGATTAGGAAAATGTTTTATATTCATTTCATTTTATTTTTGTTCGTTTTTAGTTGGGTGTTGGTTATGAGGAAAGGTATGAAAGCTGTCGATTATTATTTCTTTATTTTCTTTAGTTACTTGTAATATCTATTATTGACTCTAATGGAGTTTGCTGTCGAGGCGAGGTCGAGTCTTTTTTATAGTTAAGTGGCGGTCAAGTTTTAAATCTCCTGTCAATTTTTGTCCTCTGGCCTCTGTACGCTAGTCTCGCAGCTTGACAGATTTTCTCGCACTTTTCTCTTCTCATTATTCTTCATTCGATGTTTATTTTCTGCGGGGGGAGAGTAAGGAAGGCAAAGAAATCCCTGTTGGCAGCGTGTGAGAGGCAAGGAATAGGGAGGGCGGCGGGAGAGTAGGGGCTGGGGTGTGGGGAGGGGTGGGGGGAGTGCGGGGAGAGGAGGAGGGCGGCGAGACCCATCGCTGCCCCCACAACACGGCGCTTGGTAGCTGTCTTAGCAACCCGTTTCACTTTCTTCCTCCGTGGGTCGTTCTCTTAGTCTTATTTCGTTCGCTCCTTAGCTCACTCGCTCTCTCTTCGCTTTTCTTTTTTGTTCTATTCTTTTCTTTTCTGTTCTGTTCTGTTCTCTTCTCTTCTCTTCTCTTCTCTTCTCTTCTCTTCTCTTCTCTTCTCTTCTCCTCTCCTCTCTCTCTCTCTCGCTCGCTTTCTCTTCTCTCCTCACCTCTCCTCTTCTCTCTCTCTCCTCTCTCTCTCTCGCTTTCTCTTCTCTCCTCACTTCTCCTCTTCTCTCTCTCCTCTCTCTCTCGCTTTCACTTCTCTGCTTCCCCTCCCCCTCCCCCACCCGCCTTCCTTCCCACTCTTCCTTGTTACTCTTTCCGAAGCTCGCTTTGTTGTGTTCCTCTTCTACCACTTCCGGCATCACCCCTACATCATCCACCAGATCTTCCTCCACCTCCTCCTTCCTCCCTTTCTCCCTCCCTCCCTCCCCCCTCCCACTCCTCCTCCTCCTCCTCCTCCTCCTCCTCCTCCTCCTCCTCCTACTACTACTACTCCTCCTCCTCCTCCTCCTCCTCCTCCTCCTCCTCCTCCTCCTCCTCCTCCTCCTCCTCCTCCTCCTCCTCCTCTACTCCTCCTCCTTCTCCTTCCCCTCCTCCTTCTCCTTCCCCTCCTCCTCCACCTTCTCCTCCTCCTCCCTACTCCTTCTCCTCCTCCTCCCTACTCCTTCTTCTCCTCCTCTTCCTCCTCCTCCTCCTCCTCTTCCTCCTCTCTCTCCTCCTCCTCTTCCTCCTCTCCTCCTCCTCCTCTTCCTCCTCCTCCTTTTCCTCCTCCTCCTCCTCCTCCACCTTCTCCTCATCCTCCCTACTCCTTCTCCTCATCCTCCCTACTCCTTCTTCTCCTCCTCTTCCTCCTCCTCCTCCTCTTCCTCCTCTCCTCCTCCTCCTCTTCCTCCTCCTCCTTTTCCTCCTCCTCCTCCTCCTCCTCCTCCGCCTCCTCCTCCGCCTCCTCTAACAAAAAGCCTTAGACGGGGAGACTCGTTTATGG